GGGCCTTCAGCCCCTAGGACATGGGTAGATCCAGCCCAATCACATTCTAAATCCGGCCCACAGACGGTCCAGGAATCAGTGTGTTTTTACATGAGTAGAATGTGTGCTTTAATTTATAATGCATCTCTGGGTTATTTGGGGGGCATAGGAATTCGTTCATTTCCCCCCAAAAAATATAGTCCGGCCCCCCACAAGGTCTGAGGGACAGTGGACAGACCCCCTGCTGAAAAAAGTTTGCTGACCCCTCAGCCCCTAGGATTTGGCTCCTATGTTTAGGAGAAAACAGCATGAGATAGGTCTTCTCCCTGGGCTTTTTCAGATCAGGACGTTTGGGCAGTCAGGAAAGGCACAGAGCTCTCGATAAACCTTTAATGGAAAAAAGGAAAACAGCAACTCACATTACCGTCAACCACCTTATAAAGATAAGCTTGCACCCACCACAATTATAAGGAAATTCTATAGTAAACAAAAAACAAAAACAAAAGCCTCTGACAGGTGAAAAAAACACAACTTTTGGGGAACTTGCAGGATAGGTTTCAATTGGCCATTTGTCTTTGGTTTTATGGGGGTATGTTAGGCATGGGGTTTCTAAATTGCTCTTCCAGAAAGCAAATTCTATTATAAAGTGTGGGACTTCCAAACAAATATGTTTAGGATTTAGTTGCTTGACATATTGCCCAAGATTTCCCCACAATCTTAGTATTTTCCGGGACCTTTCCTCCCCCTACACCTGGAGCAGGGTGTGCAAATGGAGTTATAGCTTACATTCTGGTTCACAGCCAGGATATTAGATACTAAATAATACTTTCTTTCCAAACATGCTGATGCGCTCTGCTAAGCAGCTGCTGAATTGCACTGCCACCGATGTCTGTATTTCAACCCTGCCTGGCAAATTATGCAGAGTGGCAATTTATTCAATGAATGTATATACATCTACCTATGTGCCTGTACATACTACAGTTATAGCTGAGTGATAAACTGCAGCGCCAAGTGGAATTGAAGTTGTTGGTTATGACCTACTATATAAAAGCTCACAGTGCTTTGACGTCTGCGTCGGCAGATTTCTTGTGGCTAAAAGAAGACTTAATTTGAGCCTGACCCGGGTGACTCTCAAGATGTTGATCCAGGATTTGGAAGGGTAACAATACTACATTTCACAGCAAAATTTAAATGAAGAAATCAACTCTGGAGCAAAATGGAGAGATAATGCATTTGTACAAAAGGTTAGGTAATAGTTCCTTTTCTTTAAAAAAGGGAGAAAAGAAATAAAGATGATGCAGAATTTCTCACGATTCAATTGCACTTGCTGCCCACGCCAAATTCACAGTTCTGTAAAGGCAGATTAGTGTTGCAAAACAGCTGCCTGACTTTAGGATGTTTGAAAACTTACATTCAGTCCTCTGCATTCCCATTCTAGCATTTGCATCATTGCTGTACTTTAACACTTCCACATATACCTGTTGTCTTTGTCCACAGAGTTTTCTTGGCAGGGAAACTGGAGTGGCTTGTCGGTTCCTGCTCCAGGTGGATCACGTTTAGTTAAAACTCTCCACTATGACCTGTCCATCTTGGGTAGCCCTACATGGCAAAGCTCATAGCTTCTCTGAGTTGTTCAAGCCCCTTCACCATGACAAGGCAGTGATCCATGAAGGAGCAGTGATCCATGAAGGATCTATGTATAGAAGTGAGAGATGGACCATAATGCTTTTGAATTATGGTGCTGGAGGAGACTGTTGAGAATCCCATGGACTGCAAGAAGATCAAACCTATCCATTCTGAAGGAAATCAGCCCTGAGTGCTCACTGGAAGGGCAGATCCTGAAGCTGAGGCTCCAATACTTTGGCCACATCACCTGGGAAAGACCCTGATGCTGGGAAAGATTGAGGGCACAAGGAGAAGGGATGACGGAGGACGAGATGGTTGGACAGTGTTCTCAAAGCTACTAACATGAGTTTGACCAAACTGAGGGAGGCAGTGGAAGACAGGAGTGCCTGGCGTGCTGTGGTCCATGGGGTCACGAAGAGTCGGACACAACTAAACGACTAAACAACAACAATCATATCACCTCTCAGTCTTCTTTTCTCCAGGCTAAACATACTCAACTCCCTCAACCATTCCTCATGAACCTTGGTTTCCAAACCCTTCATTAGCGTGGCCACCCCTCCTCTGCCCAGGTTCCAGCTTGTCAATATTCATCTCAAACTGTGGTGCTATGGTGAATTCCACCCAGTGTAGCTTTTTGAAAGAGAACTATCTCGCTAATACCCATACCTGTGTACCTCCAGATCACTGCCGATGATGCTTTCCTCCCAGCTTAGGCCTCTGAAACCTTCTAATGTGGACTGACATCGCAAATTAACAACAAGGAAGTTCACCAAAGGGCAGCCCCAAGAAAACGTTCCAAACCCATTAGCATGCATGGGGCAACCTCGCCTCCAGTTTGTGTGAAGTTGATGGTTGGAGGTTATGCTTTCATTAAACATTGACAACATTTTAAATGCTAATCAAAACTGCTTGTCCTTTCGCTGGCTATTTATCTCTCTCTCTCTCTCTCTCTTAGTTGGGGGGGTGAGAAGGAGTGAAGCATAAAAAGAATGCTGACTTTGAACCATAACAAATAATCTCTCCATTTCCTCCATGCACCCCCTCCTCCTGTGTACTACTGATAAGACTTATGCAGATTGAGTGCCAGGACCCCAACAGCAAGAAGAGGGAGGGGGGGAAGCAGGGGGGAGAAGGAACACTCTATTTCAGGACTTCCATCCTCTCAAAGAGATAGACAACAGCAACAAAACTGTCATTTGGAAGGCAGCAACAAGGAAAGACTAAGGAAGAGGCTGATTCTGTGAAGAAGATGGTATCATTCCTTATAAATTGCTGGCAAGAGGGGTTTGGCCCATCGTTCTAGCAAAGCAGCTTAAATTTGTTACTGATTTGTTAACACAATTTATAGGGCACCCTGCGTGACAAAACAATCCCAAGGCAGTTTCCAACAGACTCCCTAAAATAAACCAAGACATAGAATGCTAAAACAACAACAACAGAAGTTGGTATAAAACAACCAGTTTTCAGAAGTGTTACTCCTGTGGCCAAGCTGGATCATGGCTGGTAGCTATTGACAACCATCTCCTCCATGAATTTGACCAAACTTTGTCCTCTTTTAAAGCTGTCCACGTTGGTTTCTACCCATGGTTCTACCCTGTGGGAGCCTGTTCTATATTTTAAATATGTACCGTGTGAAGAAGCACTCATTTTAACTGCCTGGTAAGGATGGGAGATTGTGGAATTCCAAGAGCTGCTCCGAGTCATGAAAGATAATACTGAGTCAGAGAGACTGAGTGGTCTTATTGGTAGAAGATACCTTCCTAAGCTCATATGTTTCTATGACCTTCCCTTTGTGGAAGATTAAATCTCTATCCACCCCTCTACGTTGCATGTTTTGGTTTTCATGATGCTTTGCTACTATCTATTATGCCGGGTTTCCTCCCCCCCCCCGATTGCTTAGTTGTGATGTTTCTCATGCTTATTTGTGACATGTCTTGAACTTTCAAGGAAAAAGTGGCACAGCCATTATTTAGAGAAATAAAAAAGACCAGGACACAGTAAAATCAAACCGACGCGATGCCACTGACATAAAAGTCAAAATGAATAAAAATTAGAAGCAAATGTTTCAGATCATCCGCGTACACATGGATAATTGTTCCATGTAGCCTGACTGAGCCCAAGGCCTAATTAGAGTCACCATTGCATTTTGCCTCAAGCAAAATTTCAAGGCAAATCTGGAGGGTCCTGCTGAGAAGAAACATCAGAAGGATTTTGAGGGACACATCAAGAGTTTTGATAAGACTGAAGGCAATTCTTGGAGGTGGTGGGAGGCGGAATCCATCTCCAGGTCTCGTAATACCCCGAGGCCTTGAAGGTTTGGCAGAACAAGGCTGGTTTCAATTAGGAGTGCTAACAAAATTCTCCCCATGCAAATTTATGGCCAAATTTGGGTGCTCTAAATTATGGGAATTTGCTAAGAAGAAGTCAGAATTTTATTTACCGTAATTTTTAAACTACAAGATTGCACAGAATTGTTGAATATGGGCAGTTTGCCACAGCTTTCAGTTCATTCACCTCTGTTTACACCTCTTAGCTAGGTGAGAGCGCCAGTGTTGGTGTAGTGGTTAGAGTGTTCGACTAGGACCTGGGAGACCAGAGGTTTTTTGTTTTTTTTAAAATGATATTTATTGAGAATTTAAAATTACAGAGATAGAGAAGAAGAAAAAAGGAAAAGGTAAAAAGGTAGACAAAAAGAGAAATTAAACAATACAAGTCAATAAAAACAAAAAAACAAAAAAACAAAACGCACAATACATCAAAACCAAAAACAAAAATAAACAAAAAAATTAAAAACAAATTCAATATTCCCAAATCTTTGTCTTTCATTAACTTGTTTCATCGACCTCCTCACACCTCCCTTTTTTGTATTCTAGTTATTAATTATCTCAGCAAATCCTTTCCATCTTTCACTATATTCTGTCATTAAATTACCTTAATTTATTTTAACCTTATCTTACCATGAAAAGCCCTAAAGCTTAAAACTTATTTATACACAATTCTTTTTAACATTTCTACTAAAGCCAAATAGTTTCATTCCAACATTTTTCTAATACTAATTAATTTTACAATCATTTTCTAAATGAATTTTTAAAACTTTCTTCCAATCTTCATCCATCGTCTCTTCTTCCTGGTCTCGGGTTTTATCAGTCCTTTCTATCCCTTCCATCTAGTCCATCAACCTGGTGACCTTCTATCCGAGGCTCTTAAGTCTTTTCCATGTCCCTTCTGCAGGTCTTCTTCATATTTATACCTGCACTTTACTTTATCTTCTGCTGATCTTATTCTTAATTTCCTTCCTTTCTCTCGGGGCTGGGAGACCAGAGTTCAAATCCCCACTCTGCCATGAAGCTCCCTGGGTGACCTTGGGTCAGTCACTGCCTCTGAGCCTAACCTACCTCACAGGGCTGTTGTGCGGATTAAATGAGATGGGAGAGAACCATGTACACCACCTTGAGCTCCTTGGAGAAAATGGTGGGATATAAATGTGAAGAAGAAGAAGAAGAAGAAGAAGAAGAAGAAGAAGAAGAAGAAGAAGAAGCTGCTGCTACTGGTGTACACATACCTTTCTGCAATCTGTTCATGTTGGATGGGAAAGAGAGAGATTCAACTAATTGAAGCTGTGACAAATGTTAGGAATAAGGTTTAGAAAAACTCTGGGTTTGTTTGGAAGGAAGTTGAGCTAGAACACAGGGGAGAGCAAACCCATGAAATGAAAACAGGGCATAGTTCTGTTAACTGGGCATCCCTCTGGCTACGGTGAGCAGTCATAAATAACCCCATTCTGGTGCTCTCAGTATAGAGTTCGTATAATCTCTGACCATTGCTCATGTTGGCTGGGCTGATGGGAATTATGCTGCAAACCTCTGGAAGACATAAGCTTGGGACACACTGTCATGGGGTCCTTTACCTTTGACCTTTTTACCTAGCTCCACTAAGAAGCTCCTCACCTATTGCAGAACCACCTTCACAGTGCTGAGGGCAGCCTCACTTTGTAGTAAACCATTTCTCCCAAGCCTGTTTATCAACCACCAATGAATGAGAATACTGTTTCCCCACCCACACTTATCTGAAGGTGGGGCTAAGTATTAGAGGCTTGCATGTGAGTGCATTTTACATTGATGCAGATAGGTAGAGCCCAGCCAAGGAAATAAAAGCCAGCTCCCCCTACCCCCTCTTCCTTTTCCAGCTGGCATTCAGCCTGCCCTCCCTTGACCTCTCAGTGGTGTGTTAGCTGATTGCTCCTACGTGCAGAAGCAGGTATATTTTGCGCTGCACATGAATTGGCTGAGTTGTGTATGGTTTGCTGTTCTTGTTTTGCATGCTCTGTACTCAGTGGTGTTTTTTTTCTAAAAAAATGTTTAGGGGTATTCTCATTTTCCTACTCATATTGAAGTACTGCCCCTCAATGAGGCCAAACTTAGATTCACAAAATGTTTAGGGGTATGCGTACCCCCTGCATAACCCCTGAAAAAAAGCACTGTCTGCACTAATAATGTTTAGTGTGGATGGTGATTTCCAGGACTTACACATACCAATTTGGGATCCATAGCCAAGGTAATGTTCACATTTGGGGCTAACCTACTTGTAGTTGTGGAGCACCAAAGAGGTGTGAACTGTTAGGAGCTTGTCCTACACTTGAGTAGGACCCTGGCAGAGACACATGCCCGACTGGCATGTTCTCTCCCCCCTGGTTGATCGTTCAGGAGCTTCGAAAGCTTTCTTCTGCCCAAACATCACAGCGACTGATGCCAACTGACACTGGCACACTTAGGGATCCGCAGAGTCTGCGCTGTTTGCATAACAGAACCCCAGCAACTCAGCATTTTGCTAATCTACTTTATTTATATATAAACACACACGGAGCACTGCAACATGGCTCCCTCTCTCTCTAGCATCAGACACCAAAGAGAAAAAGAACAAAGGACAATAGTCCCACTTCACGGAACACAGTAACACAAACATCCTGTCTCCGTCACTTCCCACTCTGTGGAGTCAAAACGTATACCGTCATGTGAAGGACAACAATCCCATGACTGAAATTATGGAGTAGGAATTCTAGGAAGGCAGTGCAATTTGGACACAAAACTCAAAAGTTATACATCCATGTCATTTGAAAGGACAGAACAAAGGTAGCCTATCTAATCTAAGTTATGAACAACATTGCATAGAGCAAGGTGCTCTTTTCTGTTGACCATGCAAGAGCAAAAGGCCAGTCTCCTAACACTAGTGCTGTGCCAACCCCCCCCCAAAAAAATTCTCTTCATATGGGGGAGGTGCCATTTTTCATCAATTTGTGAGAAAAGAAATTGCATTCAAAAATTATCAAACAGAAAAGATCGTTGTGTGTGTGGAATTCTCATGCATCAAGTACAGAGGTTCTGTTGCAGTTACCTTCCTTTTGAGGTGGCTGAGGGATGTTTGTAGAGTCTTTGTCTTTCTTCCATTCTACAAGTCATCTCACAGGTAGTCTGTGGTCTTCAGCTTTCCCAGGTGCCTCTGTACTTAAATCAAAGACCAAGAGAAGACAAGGTGAAGTGGTAGAGGGGGTTTCCGATCAGGAAGCAAGGGTAGCTGGTGATGCTGAAGACTGCTGGGTCATATTACCTGGAAAGAAAACACGCACACAACTCTCAGCCAACTTGAAATGATAAAGTAAGTTTAAGATGGGGACATACTTAAATTCTAAAGGAATTCTCAAGAATCTTGGGAATGAGGGAGAAAGATCAAAGCATCTTATACAGAAGACAACTTTCCAAAAAAAGAAGAGGACAAATTTTGGCACACCACTACATTAAGCATTTTTTTAAAAAATGCATTAGCTTTCTACTTTCTGTGCACTGTTCTGTTTAGCTGGATTGGGTGGAAGTTAGATGGTCTTCCTTTCCTGGCAGTAGTAGATGGTTTTAGTAGGCCTTACATATCTTCCATGCAATTTCAGTTAAAATACTTGTGGGTTCTGCATTGTAGGCCTTCTGTCTCCATTGGAGCTTTGATCATAGATGAGGAACAATTATGGGACTATCTTTGAAGAACACCGTACATTTTAAAAGTTTTGGAGAAATCCACAAGGCACTTATGCACACTTAAGTCAGATTGAAAGCAATGGACTTAAGCACACGCCAATGCATGCTAGATTGCGGCAGTTGTGAATCACATTGGTATTCCTTCAGGAAGATACAAGAGACTATTATTCTAAAATCTCATTCAACCATGGAATTAAGATCCCAAAGAAAGGACTGCAATAAACATGCCCTTTGGAAAAAAAATCAAATTACTCATATTTCAAGCATTTTTATTGTAAATTAAAATGCATGGTTTAGACCATATTTCAATTATCATCTCAACATTACTGTTTAAGCAAATGACTGGAGTTAACAAGAGAGCTACTACATTTTGAATACATTGATTTTCTGCTTGGTGTAAACTCTAAATAGCCGATTAGAAGGCTGTGAATCAGAAGGACTTCGTGTACCTAATATACCCAGCGATAAATTACGAGCTGAAAGCCGTGCGGCTCTTTGAAGGAGAAATGTATTCTAGGCATGTGACTGTAGAACTTAAATGCAGAGACATTAATAGTGTTGCCTCGCAAGCCTTGTCTCTCCGATTTGAGAAACTGACCAATTCTGATAGGCATGTCAAGCTCATTTGGAAATCCATTGTGCTTAAAGGTATAAAGGCACCTCAAGCTTGCCCTAAGAACATGACACTTTGTTTAATTGAATATTGCTGACTCGTATGTTTTCCCTCCTTTGCTATTGAAGCTGCTGGCCGCAGAAATATCAAAAACCACCATGAGTTAGGGGCAAACTTGTATCTGTCCTTGCTATTGTTGGGTTCTGCTCTGATGCGGGATTCCACAGGGCAAGGCAGGTCAGGAATTGCAGGACCATGGATAGCTCCAAGTAAAGGCTGAGAACAGGCTAAGCCTATTTAGAAGAGTTTGATGAAGAAGAGTTTGGATTTGATATCCTGCTTTATCACTACCCTAAGGAGTCTCAAAGCAGCTCACAATCTCCTTTCCCTTCCTCCCCCACAACACTCTGTGAGGTGAGTGAGGCTGAGAGACTTCAGAGAAATGTGACTAGCCCAAGGTCACTCAGCAGCTGCATGTGGAGGAGTGGGGAATCAAACACAGTTCACCAGATTACGAGTCCACTGCTCTTAACCACTACAACACACTGGCTCTTTGCTCCCCCTGACTACGTCCCCCAGGCTCCTTTTTCTTGTGGATAAACTTGGTCCTGATTTGACAAGACTGGCACATTGATAGAAGCCAGTGCAAAGGCTCCTGCTAGCACAAATGGGTTTTCCTCCCTCTCCTCTCCCCATGGGACCCCAGCACCTCCCGCAAATGTACCCTGGAGGTTTGGGAGAATTCCTGAAACAGTGCCCAGAGGACGGAGAAGGGAGAATGTTCTATTGGGGAGGCAGAAATGCTTGTGATGACATAACAATCAGAGGAGTGCAATAATGAATTCCTCCCCTTAGATTCTTAAAGGAACAACCCTCTGCCCTGAAGATGGGAGCTCCTCCTCCCTTCCATAGCTTCCTTCCAAGTGCTCTACCTGTGCTAATGGACCACTGAAGCATTGATTGATTGATTAAATTTGTATACTGCCCTATACCAGCAGGTCTCGGTGCAGTTAAAACATAAAGTCACAATACAAAAACACAAAATACATTATAATAATGAAAACAATAAGCCAGTAACACCCACTCCTTACATAAATATGATTTGCTACCAAGACATTTGGCTTTTGTTTCTATTTATTTTTTCATAGTAACTTTTTACAAAACAAGTGTACTATGGGAGACATTGCTGTCCTCAGAGGAAGGGGCCTGTGAGGGTCCTGGCTGTGGCTAGATGGAACTGTTGACATTCCTAAATCCATTCTGGCTCCTTAGTTGTAGATTCCACAGCTTTGGTTCTGATTCTTGACTGCTTCTGGACTCCAGGATCATGGCAACAATAGTCACTGGGCACCACCAGCTGTTGCTCCTGGGAGGATAGGCCAATAGCTTCCCTCAATTTTTTCATGCCCATGAGGCCATGTCATCAACTCCTCGGAAAAGACTCAGAGGCCAGCCTGCATCCCCCCCCGCCAGATTATAATAATGCTCCTACCTTTATTCTTATCATTTTTATATTGATTTGTTTCCCTTATGCATTGATGATCTTGTTAGCCCCTTGGAGCATGCCAACCTAATAAATAAATAAATAGCACAAGGATACTGACACTGACCTTATTGTTGATTCTGGGTCAAAAAGGAAGCTGCTGGGATAAGCTCTTGTAGCACTTCCTTTATTTTGGTGTTATTTTAGTTATATTGAGGTAGAGAAAAACAAGACATAAACACCACCACATGCCCACACAAAATGTATTTAGTGTTAGGAAACCAGCATTAATTGGACATAGGAAATTATGAACTCACAAAAAGAAATGCCTTTTCTGAATGTGGCCAATGGTTTGGTCCAGTGCTCCAATGAGTGACATCCAAAACTGTGGTTTTCTGCTTCCGTTACAGGATTTCTCACTCCCTTCCTCTCCTGTGGAGCCCGCATACCCTCAAAATCTACTACAGAGAGTTCCTCATCTGTTCATAACTGGTTTTTGCACTGCTCTAGGGGACTATATGGGGGAGAGAAAATCCATTATTTCAACCATGTTGAATCCATTGCGAAGACTGAATAGAATCAAGTTGTGTGTGTGTGTGTGTGTGTGTGTGTGTGTGTGTGTGTGTGTTTGCAGGACTATTGGTATGTAAGGAATCTCACTGTGAAATGCCCCCTTCTTCTTTTACCTCTTGAAATTCATCTGGTGTTCCCAATCAGAAACTTCCATATGTGCCTCACTTACAGGGACAGAAAAACTTGGTGACAACTTGAGAAAACTGCTAAGCCTTATCAAAGCTCTTTTGCTTCCCTTGATATTCCTCAGATACCTCCTCCAAGACAGAAACTAAAGAGGATATTTTATTGTGGAGTTGCTGTTGAAGTTTTCCTGAAGTTAGAGAAGAACTTCAGGGGCTCATAAAAACCAACATCAAAGAAGAGGGGATATTTTTAGAAGATTGTGGATCCCAGCCCTGCTTGGTTCAAAATCCAGGTCAGAAAAGAATTCCTGGCTTCATTCACCCTCTCATTGTCAGCGCACCCCAGCCCTCCCCATTCTTTTTCCTTACTAGGCAAGTATTAATTGCAGAATAAATAAATGCAGTGGCTCTGGAGTTCCTGAAGAAAAATGCAACAATGGGTATGTAGAGATGTCAAATTATCTCTCTGTAACAACCATATAGTAAGCCAGTTACCTGTGTTCTGCTAAGCAGTGATGGAAAACTTCTTACCACACAAAGCCCAGGACAGCAGGAGAATAGTAAAATATTCCCCATGTGCTGGCAAAGTGTTGCAGTTGAACAGAGTATGTGAATAATATACTGTGGTAAATTAATAGTTGGTGAAGAGTTTGCATGTTGCTGGTGAAAGCACTACACATAATTACCTATTACCCAATAAAGAAATATGCAGATGATGCCCAGCTCTATCTCTCTAGTCCACCTGAATCAGAAGAGGTTATTGACATGTGGGACTGGTGTTTCGAGGTGGAGATGGGCTGGTGGAGGTGGAGATGCCAAGAAACTATGTCTGGATCCTGATAAGAGAAACGTAGGTAGTTCTCATGTCTGGGAATTGGGGAGATGGCCTATTGTAGATGTGATAGCACTCCCTCCTAAAGGAGGACATTTGTAGCTTGGAGGATACTTCTTGAGGTGCTGCTATCATTGGAGGTCCAGGTGGTTTCTTTGGCAAGGTGTGCCTGTTTCCAACTCTAGCTAGTTCACTACTTTTGGACCAAGTTTGTCCGGTATCAGCAATTCATGCTGTAGGAACTTTCTGTCTGGATTACTGTAATGTGCTCTGTGTGTGGCTATCCTCGAAAACAGTCCAGAAACTACAGCAAGTGCAGAATATAGGAGAATGTAGCACTGAGCATGCTTCTTGTAAACTACTGGGTCTGATTTAAGATGTTGATAGTGGTCTATACAATCATAAATGGCTTTGGGCCCAAGGATCTACAGGGGTGTCTTGTCCAGTACCAGGTGACTCGATCCTTAAAGACATTGGCAGGGTTATGAAGATTCCTGATGAAGGGACTCATAGAAGGAACTTCTCTGTAGTGGGACCTTGACTCTGGGACAATTTCCCCCTGGAGTTGCATCTGTCACCTCCATTATTGAAATTTAGACATTAACTAAAAGTGTTCCTTTTTAAAGTTTGGCATCGGTTGACCTGAATAGCATTGTGCAGATTTGTGTTTTGAATCACTGCTACTTTGTGAACGCTTTAATTTTGTATCTGTTTTAATCACTGATGTATTATTGATGTTTACTCTTCATTGCACATCACCCTGGGCTCTGTTTGAGAAAGGGTGATTCATAAATACTACTACATCTACAATAGCTCTGCTTTCATGTTAACAATTGCCTGCATTCGGCAGGATCACATGAGATGTTGGCGGACGTTTGCGTAGCAGGTTGAGCAACTAAGCCACAAGGCATTTGTTTTTGTGAACTGGGTGATAAATCCTCAACCCTGCTTCCTAATCGGGACATTTATCTACAGAAACATATTTATGCTTTAGGAACAAAAAGTCATAGATATTTGCAGCATCCCTATTCAACATTTGATCTTCACAACAAACACTGCCTGTGGGTTTTGGTTCATTTGTTTGTTTTTGCATGGCCAGTATCTGAGGTAGTAAAGCCTAAATAAGGAATTTCAAATGTCTGCCTAAGAACATCAGAATGTCAGAACAGCCAATGGCCTATCTAGTCCAGAATCCTGTACTCACAGTGGTCAACCAGATGACACTTCTGGGAAGGAGGAGCTGAGCACAAGAGCACTCTGCTTTTCTGCATTTCCCAGAAACAAGTGTTTAGGTAAATAGACCACCGCAGGATAACTATCTCTGCTGGGCAGTTGTTGGTTCAAGAAAGAGCCCCTTCTTCCTTTAAAACACACATTTATTATTATTAATTGCATTTCTATCCTAACTTTCCTCCAAGGAGCTCAAGGTGGCTTACATAGTTCTGCTCCCCATTTTATCCTCGCAACAACCCTGTGAGGTAGGTTGGGCTACAAGTAAGTGACTGGTCCAAGGTCACCCAGTGAGTTTTATGGCTGAGGAGGGATATGAGCCCTGGTCTCCCAGGTCAGTGTCTGACACTCCAACCACTACACTACAATGGTTCTCACACCACACTCACTCTTAGCTGGTGAGAGCAATGACCTGTGACCTACAGTGACCTGCGATCTACCTAATGGAGTAAAGGAAGGGTCCCTATCATTGAAATCCTTCTGCAATGAGAGTTCTATCTACTGCTCTATTCACCTCTTCCAAAAATACAGGGACTCTGGGAAGGGTAAACATGCCCTCATCATGTTCGCCTAGAGATGTTTTAATTTTGTTAAGGATCAGGAGTGAATAATCTTCAGTTCACCCTCCCCCCCCATTTTTTTTCCTTTTCAAAATTGAATTTCCATTTTAATAAAGATGACATTCATGTATTTGCTTTAATTGCACTTCAGGAGGCTCCTACTTTTTCCTTGCCTTGACTTTGAGGTGCTCTCTTTCAAGTCACAAGATTCCTTTGGCTGCGATCCAGCTCTGTGGGCCTCCGATGTCGAATGCACTTCAAAGATGACAGAGTGCCACATGTTTCAGGGCTAGAATGGCAAGCTTTTAAATGTGCATTCTGCTGCCCCTAGTGGTGAGACACTCAAGGCTACAACGAGAAGGCTGAAACAAATGTGTCTCTGGTTACAAACTTAATTCATTCTGGAGGTCCGTTCTTAAGCTGAAACCGTTCTTATCCTGAGGCGTGCTTTCTCTAATGGGGCCTCCTGCTGCACATGTGCCTCTGGAACGTGATTTCTGTTCACATCCTGGGGCAAAGTTTGCAACCAGGAGCAGCTACTTCTGGGTTAGCGGAGCTCGTAAGCTGAAGCGTTCGTAAGCAGAAGCTTTTGTAACCAGAGGTTACATAGCTCCATCCACCAAGGCTGTCCTTAAGATCCCTGTGGTCTGGCTTAACTAAGCTATTTGGGCTTCTAAGCCAGTTCTGAGAGTGATGAAAACTTCAGATAATTTAGAATACTATGATCAGTACATTTCTGAGCACAATTCAAAGTGTTGGTGCTGACCTTTAAAGCCCTAAACGGCCTCGGTCCAGTATATCTGAAGGAGCATCTCCACCCCCATCATTCTGCCCAGACACTGAGGTCCAGCGCCGAGGGCCTTCTGGCAGTTCCCTCGCTGCGAGAAGCCAAGTTACAGAGAACCAGGCAGAGGGCCTACTCGGTAGTGGCACCCTCCCACCAGATGTCAAAGAGAACAACTACTACAGTGGTACCTCTGGATGCGAACGGGATCCGTTTCCAGCCCCATTCACATCCTGAAGCGAACGCAACCCACGTCCTCACATCTGCACATGCACAGGTCGCGATTTGCCGCTTCCGAACATGCGTGTGACATCATTTTGGGCGTCTGTGCATACGTGAGTGGCGAAACCCGGAAGTAACATGCTCTGTTACTTCCAGGTCACTGCACAGCGCAACCCGAAAATGCTCAACCCGAAGCTACTTCAACCCAAGTATGACTTTACCAGACTTTTAGAAGACATGATTCTATGATTATATGATTCTATGATTCTATGATTCTAAGTTTTTCAAATGGAGATTTTTATCCGGCCTTACTAGGTTTGACATTATTTTTTGTACATTTTTTTTTTTTTTCAAATTGCACTATGGTGCTTTTATTGTTAAAGCACTCTTAAGAAGCAATTAATAAATTAAACAAATTAATGGAGTCTTAAAAGGTCTGGGAGCAAGTTATCTTAATGACTATCTCTTTTCATATCAGCCTTCTGGTTCTCCTCAGTCAAACAACAGAACTGGGGTGATGGAAAGTTTTCATTTTGTGATCTTTTATATGAACTGGCCATTCGTTTCAAACCCTAACTAAACACTGTGCAATTCTCACAATTCAGTTTGGTGTCCAGATTTGGGTCAGCCTCAGGTCATCTCGGGTTTGAGTGGGCTGGATCGGGCCCCAAATCAGATAGGAGGCAGGGGGAAGACACAGCCCTTAACTGGATGTAAAAAGACATTTTGAGTAAATCTGTTCTAGCGCATCTCCAATTCATTTCAAGGTGTTTCTGCAAGAAAACATCCAGGTGGATTGGGCCCTCTGTCTTTCGTATTTATTTAAGAGCCAAGTGAGCTTGAAAAGATTCCCATATATGAATTGGGCATTTAGTAATGGCTTGTACACTAATTAAGGTAATTATGATAAAGGGAAGACATTAACATTGTTAACATAAATGACCCAAGGCACAACTCCTTAACATATATTGAAGTTAACTCATTAGACGCAATTGCACAGAATAGACAGCGCTAAACAAACCTGAGAAGATGAATCCCAAATTGCTATGCAAAAAAGGGCCTTCTTCCATTATAGACCTGATTTGGAATACTAGCCGAGAGCACAGCCTAAGTAGTTCCCAGTTAGAGTTTCATGTCCTCCATAAACCAGCTAGCTGACTTTAGGTAAAACTGTATTAGTTGACCCTCAACTTTTATTTGCACCATCTGCAATATGGAGATAGGGCAGCATTTCTATGTTGCAGGACTCTTTTAAGAGTTATTGAGATTATGTGTGTGGCACACTCTGAACACTCGGGGGAGAACTAAATACAGTGGTTGCTAACTGTATCACATAGTTAAGGAAATAAGTAATGCATACAGGAAACCTATGACATGTGAGTTTATTCAAACTTACAAATGTAACATATAATATTTAGCATGCAATTTTACTGTGTATATTTGTTTTAAGCTTGCAGTTCTATTTACCCTACTTTTCCGTGTATAAGACTAGGGTTTTGTTTTTTTTTTACTAAAAATAATGTTCAAAAAGGGGGGGTAGTCTTATACACAGGGGAAATCTCCCCCCCATTTTCTTAATTTTGAGTCCCCCAAAATAGGGGTGTCTTATACATGGGGGTGTCTTATAGATGGAAAAATACGGTTAATATTTTGGTAAAGTTTCTCTTCAGCTTGGTTTTGCTGTTTGGGTTTTACCAGCATTTCTTTTTACTATTTTGTACTATTTTATGTAAAGTGCTTTTTGATGATTCAGCAATATATAAACTTTGTCAAGGAATTTAACTGATGATCTAATGACATTACAGCAGATTTTTTTCAACAACAAAATGATAATAATAATAATAATAATAATAATAATAATAATTTATTATTTATACCCCACCCATCTGGCTGGGTTTCCCCAGCCACTCTGGGGAACATGAGCATAGGAGAGAGTCAAGAAAACTCAAGTGTCAGATTGTATCCATGTGGGGAACTCACACAAACAAACATTGGATTGTTTCCAATATCAATCATACCTGGAATAAACCTGTTGAAAATAAGGCGATGTTTAACCTACGTCTAACTCCATGGACAAAGACAACAGGCATATGGAGTGCCTGGTGTGCTCTGGTCCATGGGGTCACGAAGAGTCTGACATGACTAAATGACTAAACAACAAATTAAATGTCAATGGGTCTAGATTTGAGGATAATACCTTATATTTACAATTCATCACTTGTGGGAACTTTTATTTAATAGATTCATGTTTCCAGAACATGATCGTAAATCCTGAGAATAAGCAGCCTGGTGAGATTTAGTGCAGTATCCTGTTCTCACAGAAGGAAACCAGCAAGTAGGATTTGAGCACAATAGCACTCTCCTGGTATTTAGGGGGAAAGTAACATTGAAAATATAATTTATGTATCCTAGTAGTGAAGCAAACCATGTTTTCTGTCCATCAAAACTTCTCCAGCTCCGAGAGCCTTCTGGCGGTTCCCTGACTGCGAGAAGTGAAGTTACAGGGAATCAGACAGAGGGCCTTCTCGGTGGTGGCGCCCTCCCTGTGGAACGCCCTCCCGTCAGATGTCAAGGAAATAAACAACTACCTGACTTTTAGAAAACATGTGAAGGCAGCCCTGTTTAGGGAAGTTTTAAATTACTGATGTTTTGCTGTTGTTGTTGTTGTTCTTGTTGTTATTCCCATCCTACCTGAGCTTCACATGATAATTTGTGAAAATATTGACTATTTAGACTGCAAATGTTTGCTTCTCTATATGGCTTTCAGTATCATTGTCATTTGGCTCCCGTTGGTTTGTGAAACACTAACTCCTTTCTGCATCCTCATCCTCAGAGCTGTCTCCTAGGGGCTGAGGTCCCTTCGGCCCCCCATAAATTATTTTGAGGGGGCTAGCCCCCACCCCAAAGGTAATAAGCATTGCCATTCAAATAGTGTGTGTGTGCGCACTGCATCTTGTGATCAGTTCTGTGGGGCAGTGCTTACTCCTCCCCCTGAATATTTATTTGACACCTCTTAATATTATTATTATTATTATTATTTGCATAGGGGGCACTCCATTGGCCCCTCCTGTTCATACCAGGTAATGGGATTTCTAACGGAAGGAGATCATTCAGAGGAAATGGAAAGAGCTGACATTTAATGGTAATTTGTCACTGTGGATAATATGTAAACACGCTACTTGAAACTGGAGTGGCTTTCAACACCCCTTGCTTCCCTAAGAGCAGGCTCCAACTGCAGGGAAGAAAATAATAATAATAGGTAGGCTTTCATCAATATATTGCACCGTTATCTATCTCATTGTGGTTCTTCCCTGGGCAGAGGGGCTGGGGTTCTCTTAAAATAAGACCTACCCTGTTTTTCTGAATTTTAAATTTATTTTATCATTATGTTTCAATTGTTGTGACCCACCCTGTGACCTTAGGGTGAAGGGTGGGTAAAAAATAAATATAGCAACTGCAAATAATTAAGATGCTGATTTGCATGACCATACGGTACGATAATCTTTATTGTCATTGTCCCATACAGAACAACGAAACTGAAAAGAATAGGTAGGAATAGGACCATCTTACAGATTTAGAATTATTATTTTTTTAAACGCTGAGCTAATGAGTAGAAGCAGCAGATTCGAGTTACAATTCAGAGTGCAATTTCAAGAAGTTTGCTTTTAGAGCCTCAGTTATTTTCTAGAACTGTGAACCATGGTTTTGATTTGTCGTTGTTGTTGTTGCTGCTGCTGCTGTTATTATTTTGTTCTAACCCAGAATGGAACCCCAGTTTTCAGTGTAGCTTTCTGCTGGAGTGGAATAATAAAGTCAAACTAATAATAATAATAATGGTCAATGAAAGCAATTGAACTATATGCATGGTCTAGCTAGGATCTCTGTAGGAAGAGGAATATTGTGTCTTTGTGCATGAGTGTGTATTTGTTTGTGTGTCAAGGCAAAGGGAGTGGGGTGAGAGTGTGCCTTTTCCATTAAGATTTGTCTCCAAATAAAAGCAAGCTGTCATTTTCCCCCCACCAAGAACAACAAAAAACCTGTTTCATAGCTTCATATACTAAAAGAATGTAACAGCTTGACAACGGCAGATGCTGCAGACAGAGAAAAAAGTGAAGACAATGTCATTTTTAATGATTATTTTTTTGAAAAAAATATGAAAAATTAAACCCAGATAAACGAGATGTCCTAGATTGGTCTCTTTCTCTCTCTCCCTCTCTCTTCAGCAGTCCCTTCAGTAGAATCTGTCCCTCTCATCTCATTTATAAGTGTCAATGCAAGGAAAGGAAGGCAACATATGTTAATTGAAGCTGCAAAGAAGTCTTCTATTTCTGAAGTTTTATTTGAGAAAACACACTGGCTCTTTGTGCCCCTTGTTTTGTTTCACATGTTGGCTCTTTCTATTAGAAGATGTTCCATCCGGAATCTTGGCCTTGGCTTGTCAGGCTCCTGTCAGGGGAAAACACTTTGGAGGAGTTTCTGCAGCGTCACCGCAAGTGATGGGGACAGGAGGGTCAGGCTGGTGCAAACACACTGTCAGAGCCTTTGTACTGATTCAGCTAAGCCAGCCTTCTTGCACTGTGCCAACCTCACTGTTCTACCATCCCTCCCAGCAGGCCTGGTCCACCAGTGAGGCAAGGTGAGGCACTTGCCTCAGGGCAGCAGGTACTGGAGAGCTGGGAGGGGTAGAAGATCTCACCTCCAAGCACCACACCACTCACTGCCACCTCCTCCACTGCCTGCCCCCCACTTGAACTCCCCAAACCCAATGAGTGGCAGGCATGTGGCAGTGGAGGAGGGCAGGCTGTGGAGGAGGAGATGATCAGGGGCATTTTCTGTCTTGCCTCTAGCAGTAAAATGTACTGGGCCAGTGTGGTGTAGTGGTTAAGAGAGGTAGTCTCATAATCTGGTGAACCGGGTTCACGTCTCCGCTCCTCCACATGCAGCTGCTGGGTGACTTTGGGCTATTCACACTTTTCTGAAGTCTCTCAGCCCCACTCACCTCACAGAGTGTTTGTTGTGGGGGAGGAAGGGAAAGGAGATTGTTAGCTGCTTTGAGACTCCTTAGGGTAGTAATAAAGCAGGATATCAAATCCAAACTATTCTTCCGCCTCCTCCTCCTCCTCCCCTTCTTCTTCTTCTTCTTCTTCTTCTTCTTCTTCTTCTTCTTCTTCTTCTTCTCCTCCTCCTCCCTCTCCTCCTCCTCCTCTTCCTCCTCCTCCTCTCAGTATTCAACAGCAGCCCACCTCCGAGAAAGCTAGCATATGGTCTGGGCCCCCGATTGCTGATCTGGATCATGTCACACATCCACACAACTGTTTGCAGTGGACAGGAGGTGCAGACAGGGCCTGTTCATGCAGGAGATTATGGCCAATAGCTGCACTTCACAGTAAAGGTTCTACAAAGAGCCATTCAGCAAGGGATTGGATTACCATGGAAGGTGTCTCTCCTTCATTGGAGCGTGTTTCTTTTTTTGAATGTTATTTAATTGAAATATTTCCATCGCTAACAAAGGTGCACAGAGTTCACACAGTCTTTTTTACAGGTCAGTTACATTTGGTGTGAGACGCTGCTACTGTAGGCATTGTGAGTTTGGTGTGGGAAAGAGAGGTGGGGAGATGTTTCAAAGAGATGTTGGATGACCATCTGTCAGCGATTCCTTAGTTGTGGTTCCTACTTTGAAGGATTGTTCTAGACGACCCCTTTGTGTCCCTAAAATTCTATGATTCTAAGATTTGGGGCCACATTTGAACCATATAATTAAAGCACCATGACAACACTTTAAACAGATGTGGTTTCCTCCAAAGAATCCTTGGAACTGTGGTTTGATAAGCATGCTGAGAATTGTTAAAAGTAAAGGGTAAAGGGACCCCTGACCATTAGGGCCAGTCGTGGCCAATTCTGGGGTTGTGGTGCTCATCTCACTTTACTAGCTGAGGGAGCCAGCGTACAGCTTCCTTTTTTTTTTTTTTAATATAATTTTTATTAAAGTTTTAAACAAAGAAAAAAGAAAAAACAACACACACACAAAAAATACAAAATTTAACAATAAAAACACACAACATAACAATTTAAAACAAACTCTCTTTTACATTCCCAATTTTGAATTACTTATTTTCTAGACTTCCTCATAGCTCCCTCTTTTGTATTCCAATCTACATTATTTGTCCAGCAGTTTCTTTTCCACTTTTTTAAACCCAATCTTTAATTTAATGAAATATTAAACTATATAGCTTCAGCTTTTAAACATAATCCTTGTTCTTAATGTCATATACCTTTAAATTTTTCCCTTTTATTATCAAATTTCCATTTCTTTAAACATCTTTAATCTTAATCTTTAATCTTAATCTATCCTTAGCTTTAACCTGTACAGCTGGAAACCACATTATTTTCAATCCAACATCACTCTAACATTCCTTAATTTTGCAGTGTTTCTGAAGATAGTCTTTGAATTTCTTCCAATCTTCCTCCATCGACTCTTCTCCCTGGTCATGGATTCTGCCAGTCATTTCCGCCAATTCCATATAGTCCGTAAGTTTCATCTGCCATTCCTCCAGCGTGGGAAGTTCTTGTATCTTCCAATACTTTGCGATGAGTATTCTTGCTGCTGTTGTTGCATACATAAAGAAAGTTCTATCCTTTTTTAACACCATTTGGCCCACTATGCCCAGGAGAAAGGCCTCTGGTTTCTTGGGAAAGGTATACTTAAATACCTTTTTAATTCATTATATATCATTTCCCAGAAAACCTTAATCTTTGGGCACGTCCACCAAAGGTGAAAAAATGTACCTTCAGTTTCTTTACATTTCCAACATTTGTTGTCGGGCAAGTGATAGATTTTCGCAAGCTTGACTGGGGTTATGTACCACCTGTATATCATTTTCATAATATTCTCTCTTAAGGCATTACATGCCGTAAATTTCATACCAGTGGTCCATAACTGTTCCCAGTCAGCAAACATAATGTTGTGTCCTACGTCCTGTGCCCATTTAATCATAGCCGATTTTACCGTTTCATCTTAAGTATTCCATTTCAGCAGCAAGTTATACATTCTTGACAAATTCTTAGTATTGGGTTCTAACAATTCTGTTTCTAATTTTGATTTTTCCACCTGGAAGCCAATTTTCCTGTCTAATTTAAATGCCTCCATTACCAGCGTACAGCTTCCGGGTCATGTGGCCAGCATGACTAAGCCGCTTCTGGTGAACCGGAGCAGTGCATGGAAATGCCGTTTACCTTCCCACCAGAGCGGTACTTATTTATCTACTTGCACTTTGACGTGCTTTCGAACTGCTAGGTTGACAGGAGCAGGGACCGAGCAATGGGAGCTCACCCCATCACAGGGATTCGAACCGCCGACCTTCTGATCAGCAAGTCCTAGGCTCTGTGGTTTAACCCACAGTGCCACCCGCGTGACCCTTAATCCCTACACAAAGCAAAAACTCCCAGAGTTCCCTAGGAAGGGGGATTCACTGTTAAACCACTCTGAGAATTGCAGCTCTGTGAGAGGCATAGTGGGACCCCGGGCAACTCTCAACACACCTGGCAAACTGCAGCTCCCATAATTCTTTGGGGAAAGCCATGGCTGCTCAAAGTGGTATCATGATGCTTCACCTGTATGGTGTGAATGTAGCCAATTACTCCTGTGCCCTGCTGATTTTCCTTCCTGTCTTGTGGACAGGCCACAGCGATGAACAGCTTTTCAGCCAAGGAAAATAGCTCCAGAAATAAGCAAGGAGAAAGGATGGAGGCAGAGAAATAAACATTTCTGCAGGCCTACGGAGTTATCCTGGGGATTGTGCAACTGCTACAGTTACCAACTTGCGATATGAACTTTTAACTATTCTTTCTCCTCACTCTTGCCTGCCCTTTCCCCTCCCAGGCACCCCAGGGAGCCCTTTCCTGTCTTGTGGACATTTCTCGTTGGCCTTTTCCTTGACATCGCCTTGTCACTCTGGCCACACTCTTGTTCTGCCAGATATGTTTCATTTTCTGCATGACTTCACCTGGATGGGCATTTCAAGCTGTGATTCCTAAGCTTGATCTCACACTGTAGATCCTGTTATCTCGGCTTTCTCTTTCTCTCCCCCCCCCC